TCAGGGGAGGAGTCAGCCCCTAGGCTTGGGGGATAGACCCCACCATGGGCAATGCAGAGTTCGGGAGGGGGGATTCAGCAGAATCAGATGTGGGGGCAGGGTCAGTCCCAGCCCCAGGAGCAAAGGGAGGGTGGCTTGGGTGAGCCCTGGTGGGGCAGGGTAGATGGCTTGGGCAAGCACCTCCAGGCTGTTTTATTTTAAAAAATATGGTCCCCTGGGAGGGGAGCAGGATAGGTGTCAAGATCTTTACTTCTTATTTACTTCTCCGTTGGAGTTGACACGTCTTCAGGGATTTTTCCTTTCTCGCTGCTTCTTTTTTCTGTGTGCCCTCTGGTAGCGTTTTACATTATTGCACCTTACCAGAGACAGTCTCCCAATCAGCTCATGCTGGTTTACCGCCCTCTGCGATTAACATGTGTTATTTTTTTTAACGTGTTAATTCTGCCCTGCATTAATCGCAGGAGTTTACGCCCATTAATTGACAGCCCTATTTAAGTCCTATTTTTAGTGTAGTTCAGTTAAAGACCTCCTTACTCTATTTTCCTGCAAAAGGGCTGGTTTCTTCTTCTTCACACTTGCCTCATAACAGAACACAATTCTTGTCTGCCCTGAAATTAAAAATCTTTCTGTTGGAATTAAAAGCTTAAGGCCGCAAATGCTTTAAGCATCAAGATTATGTGAACTGCCTGTGGTCTGCATTTTTTACTGAGCGCGCTAGGGAGTAGTTTTCTACAAGCAACCACCACAAAGAGTAATCTTTAAACTAAAATGATTAAACAAAATGGCAACTAAAAATAGTGGATTTAAAATAAAACAACAAATATGAAATTAAGTGTTCTAGTGCTGTAAAAGACCATAGCAGAAAACGCACAGAGAAGAATTCAGGGGGGAAATGGTTTAAGGTTCTCTTTGTGAAGTTTTCATCACATTATTCTTTTAGCAAAGGGGCAGAAAGACAATGATGTTTACCCACTAGTTATGGAAAGAGCCGCTGGAAGCAGCTTCCAAGCCTCACAGATTCATGATGGGGCATCAAAAAGATGCTAAAAGTCCTCTTCTTCCACAGAAGCTCTGTGCCTCACTGTGCCCCTGGCTCCAATGGAGCTGTGCTACCAGGAAATCCCTGACCATGAATGGCTTCAAGAATTACTCTACCAGGAAACTGTCAGAAAAGATAACAACAGCCCCTGTCATGAATTTATTATGTGGTATTGGGATTGCTTCTGGGTGAACGGACATCACCACCAAATCTAGAATATTCTGGGGGATATATTAGAGGCCAGAAACCAGTACATCCGGTCTAGCCCATGTTAAATCGGTGCAGGTTAATTGCAGCCTCACTACCAAGGTTTCCAGGGACTGCAACAGCTACACCAAAAAGAAAGTACTGCACTGTTTTACCTTTTCTGCCTTAAGCATCTATTCCTCCCATCACCTATCTATCCAAGTCTTTTCCACAAACCAAGTTCTATATTATAAATCAGACCACATGAAGGAACTTCAGCAGGGTCCAGGTGGAGATGCTGGGGGGGAGGAGGGAGAGAGTGTTCTACTGAAATAGCTGAGCCTCAATTCTGTACAAGCTAGAGAGGCATAATCTGATGTGGTGTTCTTTTCTTACTGCATATCCAATCATGGATGCCCCATATGGCTGTCCAAGAAGGAGCTATTTCCAGTACCTCCTATTTGAACTGATCTGAGATAGTCCACATACCAAATCAATATAGAAGACCAATCATACCTGGATTTGACAACAACACTTATCTCTTGCTCTTTGCATATGTAAGAGTGAAACATCCATATCTTATTGTAGGTCTGATTTATTTAAAAGTATCCACTTTCTGCATAATTTAATAGGAACCATAAACTACTTGAGAGACGACTGCATTAAAGTTTCAAGTTTTATATTTATTTCTACCCCCCAAAATATTGCTTATGGCTATTTATAAACTTTTAAAGTATTTATGGGAGATTACTTTTAAAAACCTCATAGGCTCTGGGCTTAGGATAAAATACAGCTGGTTGTGGGTGAAGCATAACTTGTAGATCAAAGCGTCACTTTGTTAAATCCACAACTAAACTGATTAATTCACACAAGACATATTTAAAAGAAAAGAATACAGGATTATTGTTACCTACCAGCCCCTGTGCTCTTGGGGAGCCAGGGAGTGACGCTCATGCAAAACAATTTCCCACCCCCAGGCCTTTGCTAGAATCAAAGACAAAGCAATGAAAAGGCCCGGGAAGACACACCTAAACTGCTTCAGACAAGGATGATAGAATTAAGGATACACCCCAGCCTCATCTGCTTGAAAGACAGAACTGAGGGACATCTCATTAGCATACAGAATGGAGACCAGCTCTTTCAAAGCAGGAACCATACTGAACTATGGGATACTGAAAGCAGAGAAGCACTGCCTGTGAAATCTCTGCTCCAGATGCTAATGAACCCAGACCTGCTCACAACCAAATTAGTCATTATCAGACCAATTCTAGTAATGGATCCTATTGACATCCAAAATACTGAAAGTGCCTAGTTCCACTGTGAGCTCCTTCAAGGATCTCCCCCCACAGCCAGGTGGAATCAGTCTTTATTGTCTCGCCTGTTTACCCAGAAACAAATCCAGTGTTCTCTTCAAACTATTGTCCTATTCCTATAAAAAAACTCCTACCCTTGCCCAAGAAAAACTGTTCTGATACCTGGATTTAAAACTGAATCAGTTCTATTGAGACTTCTTCATCTCCTGTCTGATCGTGCTAGGGACTCTGCTCTGCTCGTCTCCTGCCCTCTGGACCCCCGGCTACCATCACCATCTGGGAACCCCGATCAGTGCAAGCTCCACAGAGTGGTGAGGTCTGTCTGTCTCCTCCTCCTCCCCTCCCCTCACCCATATCCCACCCCAAGCATAGTCTCCTGACTCTGCCCTATATAAACTGTTATATGGTTAGCTAGCCCTAACATTTATAATCAGTTTCAATTTAGATTTAATATTGTAGCTGTTACGTGTGTTTGGCTTCCTATCACTACCCAGAAATAAATAACTTCTATTGTTATGCTGGTTGCTTCTCTCTCTTTCTTTCTCTTTCGCTCACTCTTCCCCAAAGGGTGTTGTGTTGGCTTCCCCATTCGCTCTACAACAACGCTTCTTGTACCCAAGCTAAAGATCCCTGTAGTGCCCAAAATCCTGTGGGGTTTGCTCATCGTGTGGTTTACCAATGAATGATTGTGGTGTGAAAGTAGGGATAGGGGGTGATGAATCTAGGGGCTTATGAGGGTGGCAGCTTAAAGTGCTGTTTAATCCAGCTCACTGAGTCCAAAGGCTCATGAGGGTGCAGTATGGCATTGCTGTTAAACCCAGCCTGCTGAATCCAGAAACATATGAGGGGTCAACTTGTGAGTGCTGATTACCCAGTCCTTTCAGGCGTGCTCTGTTAGTGGGTGTGAGTGTCTGTGTGTGTTGCTAAGAACCCCATCCTGAGGAACCTAATTCCTGCAGGAGAGCTCCAGTGGAAGGGGAAATTGGCAGCAGGGAGATTTCAGCTCCATATGAGAGCACAAGTAAGCATAGACTGATAGAATTGTTAACCTCCCCCCAGTCCCATAAAAGTAACCCTAATAAATGAGCATACCCCAGAGTATTGGGCAAATTCGGTAACATTGTATGTTGTGTATAACAAGCCCCTTGTGTTAGACTGAAACTTCTTAGGATAGAAGAAATGCCAAAAACACAGTGCTTAATCATCTAACATTATACAAAGGATAGAAGAAATGCCAAAAACACAGTGCTTAATCATCTAACAACAATAAATTAAGTCTTCCATCTTGCACTGAGAATCACATGTATACACCCTACACAGTACCACTTCCTTACACAAATTTATTTCAGGTCTGTGCTCACACAGTTCTCAGGGCAAGACTAGAACCTACATTAGTTAATTTTATTATCACTATTAGTGCTATATTCAAACATTATACAATTTAGAGTATTTGGACAGAGAAAATGTATCATTCTTAATGGTAATAGTTGGAGAAATCATAATGTTTTTAATAGATTTAATCAAATGCCCCCTCCATACATGGTAGCTGTGATTTGACAACTATTCTGGATTTCTACAAGCTTCCCCTCAGACACAAAGAGAAGGGTTGAGAATTTGCACAGTAGGGCCACAACATCCTACTTTTACTCAGCTTCATATATTTACCTGAAAATCGATTTCACCATTGCGAACATTTTATTACCAGCAGCAGCCTTGTATAAGTCTGAGGGTTAAGCTAAGGATAGTTTGCAATGTTTGGCGCGTTTTTTGTTTTTTGATTTCAGTTCAGTTCAAGTCAAACAGTAAATATTTCCATTTTTCATGCCAAACTAATTTTTGGGGGGCAAGGGTCAACTTGACATTGTATGTGTTTGCCAGAGCTGTCACAATGCCTCATAGGAGCTGCAGTTCAAATATCTCATAACTGTATTCTCCCTTGTGTGGACCAATCTTCCTGGTAGGACTACCACATTTCCCACGATGCACAACAATTTCTCTTCTAACTGAATCAGTGTGGTAAATCATGGGATTCATGTGATCACTGTGCATCAGGAGACAAGAACTCTGGCTGGAGAACTCAGCCCACAAAAAGAATGGGAGTAAGTAGCACCCAAACAATAGCAGCCATGAGAGAATGATTCAGCTCAGGTGGATGTGGATTAGTGCGGACCCAAACTGAAAGTAAATGTTTTGAGTCTGTTCAACAAAGCAAAATGAAATATTTCAATGTAGCAATGTCAACATGAAAGTTCTGACATTTCAAAATGCAAAATTTTTAAATTTTGTGTTCGGTGAACAATGTCAGTATTTTGACATTTTGTTCCGAATGGAACCAACAAAATTTGAAACGTACAAATTGTATACGCGATGAAGTGCTAATTTTGACCAGTTCTAGTTCAAAACACTTCCAATGAAAAAGAAAGCTATACATTACACTTTCAAATCAAAGCATTATATCTTACCTGTTTAGGAAAGCGGAAAAGAGAGTTTTTGTAGAATATATCTTTCGCTTGACTCCATGTTCCATCAATTATGATGATTGTGGATGGAGTTGGTAGGATCAAGGCCACTTCTTCCAAATTAGCTGCTTCGGCTCCAGGATACAGAATTAAAGTATTAGAATTTCTGCACACAGCTGCTAATTCAGGATACCTACAACCATGAACAAAGAGAGAATGTTTTTATTTGTTTTTCTGAAATGGAAAATATATGTAATGTGTGTCATGCGTCATCCCCATGGCTCTGCCAATTTACTGACTTTGCAAATTCATCTTCTCCCAACTACAACTATCCAACCCATTATTCTCCTTTCTGTAGCCTTCAATCCTGGACTTTAGGTAGAGGAATCTGTAGAGTACTAAGAAGAGCTACTTTACCACAATCTCTCAAAAGGCCTAAGAGCTAAATTTTCAGAAATGGCTATTAATTTTGGGTGTCCAACTTGAGAGTTCTCTGCAAATGAGGCGCTAGAAGTGAATCACCCACAACTCTAATCAAAGTTAATGGAACTTAAGTACTTAGCATTTAAAAAACAACAACAACAACAGAGTGGTTTGGCATTTAAGTTGGGCACCAACAAACAGAGACAGGAAATACCTTAAGGAAATATCCTGATACCTTAATAGGCACTTGAAAATAATGGTCAAAAGATATTGACTCTGCAATCGTCACAGCTCTTGCCAGCCCAGTGAGCAGGACACAAGGACCAGGAACAGAGCTTTGATCTCCCGTTTGACAGCATATATTTTTTATTGGATATAGAGCTAAATTCAGTTTATTTGCTTTAGGGAAAGTTCACAGTTATGCAGACATCATTGAATGTTTTGAATTATTTATTATAAATTTAAAAGTCTTATTAGGCTTTTACAAATAATTAAAAAACATATATACAAAATTGTTTCAGCAAAAATAAAAAGTAAAGGAATATAAATGCTTTCATCTGATTGAGGCTGAATACTTAATACAGAAAATATTTTCCATTATGTAAGTAAGAGTTCAAAATGTTTCCAGAAACAAAAATCCAATTTAAATGCATATTTAATAGTAATAATAATAATGCATCATTAAAATTCCATGGCTAAGAACTAAAACATCAGGAAACTTGAAAGTTATATTTGAACTTTGACTCTTGGTTCAGTTGTTTTCTGAAAAGGCACTGAGAGATTCTGTTTACTGTCTTAGTGGTTCCAGTGACTTGTTCAACATCAATGTAGAAAGCTAGAAGGAACACACAGAATCCTACCTAACTTTGAGAGAATATCTGTACTGGTTGCAGCTCAATGTGAAGAAGATGGAAGCAAAGTAAGGATGGAAACAAAGTGAGGATCCAGATGATAAAAGCAAAGCAAGAAAGAAGCAAGCAGCATAGTATGATCTTGAACTCTAACTCAGAAAACACGTCGATCAGAGAAATTTAAACAAACTGCTTTGCTCTTGAATTGGGCTTGTCAGCCATAAGCAGATTCCTCAGGCACGTGATTAGATCTCTTATGCGTATACATGATTAGATTGGATCAACTGTTGACAATGAAAAATGGTTATAGGAACTCCACATCAAAGTTGGTCTATTTCAATGTATAAAGATTATTTTTCTAAGTGCCAGTTCCATAAATAAAACATGGAATTTGCAAGTTAATTATTACTTATATAATGCCATTAGTGGCAGCAAAGGGAGGGGGTACTTCAAAGTGGCAGTACTTCACAGTTGTGCAGCATTGCTGCTTTCAAACCCCAAGGCGGCATTTCAAAGGGGCAGCTAAGGAGCCCGGGGTCAGCTGGTAACTCCCCAACTGATCCTGGGCTTTGCATAGCATTTCCCCAGAACCCAGGGTCAGCTGGGCAGTCCCCAGCTGACTTTGGTTCCGCTGCTACGGGGAGCCCAGGATCAGCTGGGAGTTCCCAGCTGACCCCGGGCTCCACGGCTGCCCCTTTAAAATGCCGCCTCTGGAGTCCAGGGTCAGCTGGGGACTGCCCAGCTGATCCTGGGGTCTGCACAGCAGTGGAACCCAGGGTCAGCAGGGAAGTCCCCAGCTGACCCCAGGTTCTGGGGAAATGCCGCGCAGAGCCTCCAGCTGACCCCAGGCTCCACTGTCCCTTTAAAAGGCACGGAGGCAGCATTTCTAAGGGGCAGCCGTCACACAGCTGTGAGGCGGCTGCCCCTTTGAAACACTGCCTCTGTGAGTTTCCAAGAGGCAGTGAAGCTTAGAGTCAGCTGGGGAGTCCCGAGTCCCCAGCTGATCCCAAGCTCTGCATTGCACTGCCCTTTGAGGCGCCACAGCGGCACTTCAAAGGGGCAGCACAGCATTAATGCCTGTGATTAACATGTTAAAAAATGTAACGCGTTAACCCTGGATTGCGTTAATCGCAGGCATTAACACATGTCAATTGACAGCCCTAGTATCAAAGTTCTTCACTAAGTTGTATTTAATGTCTTTAGACAAGACAAGATTTGTCAAGTTGCAAAGGCTTCTTGTAAGCTAATATCAGCATTTCCCACATTGACCCTGCACTACAATTGCTGTATTCACTGCATTGACATCCTTTGTAAAACAGTATATTATTTGCTTGCAATTTTTCATCTTCAATTTCAACAGTTTAAAAACTAGACAAATTCATTTAATATTAGGAAGCTTCAAGTGGGAAACCGAGTTAGTCTGAAGAAGTGGGCTGTGTCCACGAAAACTCACGAGACCATCTGCAAGTTTTGTTAGTCTATAAAGTACTGACAGACCATTTGCTGTTTTATAACTTTCTCATTTAATATTAGTTAGGGTTGCTCTATTCTACTTACAATGTTTTCTTCACGTGTGGAAAAGCAAGTAAATTGTGGAGGCCAATAACCATATTTCTGTTTCTCTATCTTCAAAAATATAAAATTTATCAACAGTTAACTAACATTACCTTCCTTCCACAAAACATTTTTAACGCTCATGGCTCCATCAACTACCACGTAGCCTTAACTTTAATATATATTCTTGCATGTATGTCAATATATTAGCTTCCTTTTTTCCAGTGTATATATAAAAGTTTGAGAACCACTGCTTTACACTAACTGAGACATTCACAGCCTTAGAGTGAACACAAGAGAAAATCTTGCAATGTTATTTTTTAGCTTACAAACTTTACTTGAAGATTGAGGGTTTGCCTATAGTTTTCTACACCTATTTAAATAAAACAGTAGAAAAACACCTTCAGTTAGCTTAGATTAGTCCACTCTCAGATTACACTAGACTCTTATGAAGGGCTTTACACCAGTATCACCTGGTTTGGTATTCGCCAAACACTCCATCAAAACATAAGAAAGGGAGAGGAAAGGAGGAGGAGGAGGAAGAACAAAGTAGCAGACCATGTTTAAACGAAGAAAACATTGCCTTTAGGGCAGTCCTCATTATCTTATCTGTGTACAACTGGATACCATTGCAATAGGCATTTCAGAAATGCTAACGGATATAAGAACTGATAAACTGATTATGGACGATAGGTACATGTTAGTTTTAAATATAAAATAGAATTGGAATCTGTGAAAGCCGAGCCAGTGGTAGGCATAAAAAGATTAAGCAATTGCTAAAGAGTCCAAGCAGCTCAAGGGTGAATCATATTAATTATCCGTATGAATGTAGTAGAGAAATATTCCTGTGAAGGGCCCCTAATGGGATAGGACGGGCACAGTGTGAAAGAGTCATGTAACTTAGAACCCAGGTGGTACATTATATTGGGAACAAGCAACTTCGTTTACAATAAATATAGGACAAATGAAAACTATTTTTGTTTGGGAGCAACCAGGAGAAAAGCTCACAGTTCAAGCAAATAATTAGTGAAGATGTTTTATATAAATGATAGAAGTAAGTTGCACTAAACTTTCTAAGGATACTAACGTTGTAATGGGTTTCCCAAACCATCTAATGCATTTTTGATGTACTGGATTTAACAACTGACCTGAAAGAGAGCTGGTATTTTGACTGTAAGTAATTTATTGTACTGATTTTGAAACTTGTGATAATTTTGGACATGTATGCATGTATTGTCCTCCTGACTTATTTTTGAAAACAAATCAATTTACTGTATATGTTCTCCCGTCCCCATTCTTTAAGATAGTCTCCTGCACCAAGTAACACAAGAATTTCCTATTGAGCTGAGCAAACAGCATGTATTGTGTTAAAAATGTTTGCACAATCTTTATTAACATTCTAAAAGAGAAAATTAATTCTAAAATTCTGGTGTTTTATTCATAACCAAAAGCACTATATTGGTCTGGTTAGCACTTTCCTCAATTAATAATAAAACTAGTGCTTGGTCAAAGAATTTACAATGATTATTAAATAAGGCACTAGACATGGCAAGAGATGACTATTTATACTAGAGCCTATTTTAAACTAAACATATCTGATAAAACCATAGCTCTTTGTTGTTTCCTTTAAGTGTATTTTTCCTTCCACAACCCATATCAGTTTCAAACATGATACACTGAGCTACAGCCGCAAAATGTTTGAAGGCTAAAATGTGACAACTGGGTACAGTTCTTCATGGTCATCAGGTCTATCTTTGCTAAAACTTATGTCCAAAACTGTAAACTGTCTTCGGCCACTATTTAAAAAAGAATATGCTTAAATACTTTCCTGAATTGGAGCTTTACTGTGTAACCATGTGATTTTTCTGATCCATGTAATTATTATCATAACTATTATTGCAGCTCTTGTCATATCTTTCTCCTTTTTCCTTTTTTTGGTTATTACCAGTATGTGTTATTTTTATTGTTTCATCCATAAATTTACATTATCATATCTTCTGGGTGGGGCTTCTAATAATCATTGTGCAAAGCATAGCACTCTTCTGGGTACTGAAAATAACCTAAATTTTCCTCATGACTTTTTCTTGTTCAATTTTTACTGATGTCGCCAATGTGCTTATCGTGTCCCCATTTCAATTCTTGTCTGCACTGAACCCACTCAGTACTGTAACTACACCTTCATAATCTTCCAGTCACATTATTCTGGAATATTTCTAGTGCGGAGGATTCCATATGCAATCTCCCAAAAGGACACTGTGATTTAGTTATACGTGGATGTATTATCAAAAAGTGACTTAATTCCTAGAAAAATTCATTATGTGCACAAACTATATACACAGATGGTATGACCAATTTCATTTGTGAACATGATAATTCAAATTATACACGTACAAGTTTTTTTTATTATTATTATTATTATTTCTATTACTGAAGTGCCTAGGAGCCATAATCAGGCACATTTCTGCATCTTAGAAGAAAAACTAAAACCTGGAAAGAAAACCAATACAAAAAGATCAAGTTAAGAAAATTGCATCAAGGTGCTTATTATTGCAGAATTTTCATGCATTACTAAAAGGTTTACAGGTCAACTGAGCTACTCCACACAAAATAGAAATGGCCTTTTAACTTGTTACAGGATCAGATCACTGAAGCCAATTTATGACATTAAAAGGTAATTCTCATACAAGCGGTTATGTAACAATGAGACTATTAGGGACAATGTGATAAGCAATGGTCATTGCATTCCAGCTGTCTAACCACTCAAGGTTTTTGTAGATATCATGACTGACAGGAATGATAGGGAGTATTGGTTGCATTGCCATTTACTGAAGTAAAGGTGTCATAGTACCAGGGTGCTGAAAAGAGGACAAGAATGAACATACAAAATAAAACAGCATCAGTGTGAAGAGGTAACAAATATTGATCCCTCAAGGGCTTATATAGGAAAAAAACAACTACTGATTTGATGCTAATTAAAAGAGAGACACAGAATGCTTCTAGGGATGTAAAATCCCCATTAATCCATTAACTGGTTAAACATTAGGTTAACCTAACATTTAATCGGTTAACTGACTAAGCAGGATCATGGCTGCTGCTGCTGGTGGCAGGAGGATCCCAGTCCCAGCCCCAAGGGTGGAGCTGCTGCCAGCTCCTGGCTCTGCTGGAGCAGCCACCTGCCCACAGCAGGCTGCAAGGGGGCTGCTCCTGGACACCAGTTAACTAATCATCCAATAAGCATCACCCAGATACCCATTCACATCCCTAACTTCAACTTCAGAGTGAGCCTGAGAAACTGAACAGCAGTGAACACTTAGAACATGAATAAATATTCACTGTAACTTCTAATACCACTATCATCAATAGTATACAACAGAGAACTCGATGTTGAATCAGCAATTCCGCTGATATTGAATCAGAAATTCTGCTTACCTGTCTTCACCAAAACGTCGACCAATCAAGACTTTACACTTGTCTTGGGGGAGGCAAGCAGCTAAAAGAGGCACTGTCCTTAATACTCGACTTTCCTTTAAATGAAAAAGGAAAATTATTAAAAAAGCAAAGTTGCTTTTTTAAACTCCTAATACACTTCCATTTAATTTGTAGTTCTTACTACCACAAAATATGCACCATACAGGCTCTCTTAGTGATAGAAAAAACAAGACAGAGCTATCCTGTTGCAAATTAGATTTATTAGGATATAACTGACAGAAAGGGTATACAATAGGGAAAAAAAATCCAGATTCCAATTTTAATTTATTCTATACTATATAATGCTTACCTGTAATTGTTGCTCTCTGAAAAAACATGCCTCAGTGAAATAGGGATGTAAGTTCCTATTCGACTAGTTGACATATGATAAGCTTTTGCTAGTTGCTTCCCTCCATTTGCTGCCTCTATCAGAAAGAGGCAGTAAGGGGGGGAGGAAGAGGAGTGGGTGCTGAGAGGAGCCATCTCAAAAGCTGGTTCCCGCCCAGCTCCAGCTCCAGCGGAAAGGGCAGGTGAGCAATGGTGGTTTTCCACCTTTGAAATGTACAAGAGTCCCCGCTGAGGCTCACGTACATTTCAAAGTGGAAGTGCCACATGGAGCCTGGGGCCATCAGGGGACTCAGAGTCCCTCACTGACCCCGGGCTCCACCCACATGGTGTTTCAATCTTTGAAATACACAAGAGCCCCTGCTGGCCCCAGGCTCCATGCAGAGTTTCAGTCTTTGAAATGTACAAGAATGCGCAGCACTTCCGTCTCTGAAATGTAGCAACAAACGTGCAGACTCTTCTTACATTTCAAAGCGGAAGCATCCTTAACAACTAATCGAATAGTGGATGGAAATTCCATCCACTATTCGATTAGTTTATTAATCTAATTTTAACATCCCTACAGTGAAAACCTGTAGTCTTTCCTCTATGCTCCTGGTTCAGATGGGGTAGGAATTCCCATCAACAAAACTGTGAAGTCTGGCTTGGCAGAGTTCATTGCTCAAGTATTTAATATGCGTCCAATACTTCACTAGTTAATTTAAAGGTAGAAAATACTTCCATCTTTAATTGATTGATTAATTAATGAATTAATCAATCAATCAGTTAACATGACAAATTTATGAGATAAGTCTCTTCACTTCTGGGGAGGAGAGTGTTTTCATGTAATCCACCGTAATGTATATCTTCAGAAAAAAAATTTATAGGTATAGAATTATTTCTTTTTAGAGATATCCATTTCAATGGATTCTCTCCCTGGACTTTTATCCTGCTCTAACAAAAATCAATGAAAAAAACTCCTATTGAGTTCCATGGTAGAAGGTCAGACCTTCAGTGACTTGAAAAGCTCACAGGGGCTTATAAAAGAAAATTGTAAGAGAATTTTACAACAAAAATTAAGGAACAACGAACAAGGAAACCATAGCAAACACATCTTGTTCAGTAGCATTAATAATAATGCAGATTACATAAACAGCATGCTATAGGACAAAATGTATTATATATCTATAGCTGTGCATGCAGGGAGAGAGGGAGGTTGATTTCCAATTGCAGAGCCACCCAAAGTGAAAAGGACTACAATTATGCTCCCCTATTCTCAACAAATCTCAATTGTTCTCTTCTTTGCCAGGAATCCTGACTAACATAGGGCTACAGTTTCCAACATGCTAGCCACTGGGCACACGTGGCTATTTGGCCAATTGAGTGTGGCAGTTGGACACCATGGATATAGCCGCTTATTTAAAAAAAATTGCTTTTAACAAGACACCCAAAATGATTCTTAGGAAATTTGCATTGAATTAAAGGGATCACTTGCTATTAATTCATGAAGCACTATGAAAGCTCCCCACTATATGAAATAAAAGAGATAGTATGATATAAACTTCACTTTTAGTCACCAGGCAATTTTGCCAAAAAGCATATTTTGTGATTCAAGAGAGGGGTAAAAGTTCCACAACTTTTAGAAAATCAAAAAAGTTAAAATATAAACAATTTGCTTCTTATGCTCAAAAGTGAAGAAGAATGTACAAAAAGTAGAAAACTTGGTTTAAAATTGAAAACCATGATAGTAAAAGTGACACTGCTTCCAATGTTCTGAGCAACCACTACTCCCCCCAAAATGTAAACAATAGACTAGAAAAAAAATAAAATATGAGCACAGAATACATTATATTTTATATTTCTGTGGTTCCCTCCCAGACAGACAGACAGATAGACACACAAATGAGTTGGTTTTACTTTCACATATGCCAAAAATATTAATGCTGGTGTATTTGAAGATTCATATTTTAAGCAAGTGGGTAAAAATGGGCAATAAAGGAGCTGAAAGAACAGCTATTATTTGTCTCAGACAAGAAAAAGAAAATACTGGTAACCAGCAGGAAGAAGACTTTTCAAAAACTGTTACTTTCAATGTTTTCCTCTCATCTGGACCCACTGCCCAATCTAAACAACAAAAGTTGTAGACAAATCCTTGCTGGTAACTGTATGGAAGTGTATTTTTCAACTGAATTAAAGGTGAATTAGAAGAGAAAAGTGTATGTTTGGAATTGCAGACACAATATGAAAGATGGACTAAACAAAGCAGAGAAAACTCAGGTCTATGCTGGTCTACATTGTGGCATTAGTTCATCACATGTCACAAAAAGCTTGTAAAATCGACTGTACTCCACTTCCATGAGAGACCTAGTGCTTGCGTAAACATAGGGATAGCGTAGAAACAGAGCTGTGTAATTTCAAGGAATTGCTTCCAGGAGGCGCCCAGAGTGCTTTGTTGTGAATGTTCTGGAGACCACTTTCAACTCCCCTGCACTTCAGCCAGGTACACAGGAAAGAGCTACTTCCCTGTTCAAGCCCCAAGAATATTTGAATTTTCATTTTCTGTTTGATCAACGTGAAGAGCTCACCAGCACAGTTGACCATGGATACCCAGGGTCACAAACATGCTCTAGCTGGAGTGTATAGGAGACACTGGATCTTACTGTTATGAGGGGAGAAGAGTCTGTGCAGGTGTGATGGCACGTCGGGGACCCCCGACCCTGCACCCTCATCTGCAGCCAGATGTGACTCTCTGCCAGGCAGTAGAATAGAAGGTTTTATTGCTTCTCAGCGATACAGCACAGCCTAGGCTCAATGTAGACATAGGGGGATGGGCAGACAGCCTTCGTTCCCTTGGGGGCGGGGGCAAGGGAAGGGTTCACAGGTCCCTGAACCCTCTATACTGTTCTAGGTCTGCTTTCTTCATCTTCCCCATGCTAAAAACACCCCCTTCTCCCAGCCACCGATCACTCACTCCCCACAAGTAGCCACACCCCTTCCTTTGTTCAAACTCCTTCCCCTGGCCAGGTGAGCAGTTGCTAGGCCATGACCTACGTGTCTGCCCTCAGGGACCACTCCACACTGGGCAGTGCGCGTGCGCGCACACACACACACACACACACACACACACACACACACACACTCTCTGCAGAGCAGTAAAGGCCAGTAGGCGTCACCCACAGCACAACACGGCAACCAGTGAATGACAAACCAGAGTGGACTCAGGGCCACAAGAGTGTACAGCATACCCCACTACGTCACAGCAGGCAGAACTCAAAACAAGCTGAAGAAATACTAACATGAAAATAGAAGAGCTTAGGTAAGAGTACCAGAAGACAAGGGAGGTGAGCGGATACTCTGGTTCTCAAACACAGATATGATGCTTCTATGAAGAGCTGTGTGCAGTTCTAAGCAGTGACTCTTGTCAGTGCTATGGATACCTCCCAGGAGCCCTAGACATGTTGAGGTTCAAGAAAGGCAGCTGCATCTTAGAGTCCTATGCTGAATCTGCTGCTCTCCTCTCCAAATTCCAAATCTCCTCTCCCAGACAGCCGAGGATGCAGGGGCAGTGCAGGAGGTAGCTCTGGTAGCCCCCACTACTCAACTTTAGGGGACAGTATAAGGAGCAGAAGACTCACATTCTCACAGGTTTGACTGTTATTGCAGTGCAATTATAAGCAGCCTTTCCTTGTATTTCCCCTGCCTGGCTGTGTTATCAGCCCGTTAGCCTCACGTTATCTGTACTCTGCTTTACTAGCTCTCAACAATGTTTGCAATCATTATAAAAATTAATGGAATGACGATAAAAGGTTTTTCATTTTCTCAGCACAATATGATTAGCAGGGGGTATAGTTTACAGGGCAGTACATGCAATGAAGGGGGCAGTTTGACAAGGAACAAAATATGTAAGCGTCATATCACTGTGGGTCACTGAAACTTGTTTTCAAAGCCTCATGGAGACTCCCTATGTCTCAATGTACTCTTCTCATTGCTCTAGTGTGTAGCTGTTCAAAAATGGCTGCCAGGTGATCTGCCTCAACCCCTCACCTTGCTGGAAACTTTCCCCTCTTACTTTCAGATATTATGGAGCACAAAGCAAGCAACAACAAAAATGGGAATACTGCTTTCGCAGAGGTTTAACCTAGTAAGCAAACAATGCCAGCCTATGCCTTAACTGTTCTTTACTGCTGTCCAGACTGACTGTGTATGGCTTTATGAACCATGAGAGCAAGAGTTTGGCTCAGTCTCCAAGAATAACTATTGACATTTCAAGATCATCAATGGTTATTTTGCTGTCTGGAAAAAAAAATCCTTCTTGCAGCTTTCTGATCTGACTCTCATTCCTCTTTTTTAAATAGTTGCTCTAGTAGCCTGGGTAAATAACTGGGCTTTCCTGCAGACTTCTTGTTGATACATTAAAGGCCATTATCTCAGGTGGATTATTTGCTTTATATTATTAAACATTAATAGATTAATACAGACAAATAAAAGCTAAACACAGACCTCCTATGACTAAAACATTTGCATTCTTCAGCTGTCTGCAGATCACTAAGCATGTGCTATATAAGGACTTACTCCTAAATCTTTCTTACACAAGTAGGCTGCCATTCACTGAGACTGCCTGTATAATGAAGAATTTCTTATACAAAAGGATTGCAGGAATGGGCCATGATTCAGGAAAATAATGACCGATTTTAAAAATCAAAGAATAAATTACGTTAACAAATCATGTGAATTAGCAGTTCAGCTTTGTCCAGTATCTATGTTCAAAGCTGAAGAAGTTGAACATGTCTGAAAAAGAGTGTTTCCTCTTGACCTCTCTCATATCCTTTGCCACAGAAGCTGAACTCTGACAAATCCCATAGCCTTACTCACCTCTGCTGGATGCTGAATTATATACAGGCAGGTGGAGACTTTTAGAGGATACACAGGGAAGAATGGACACAAACACACCTTCTGTGGACGGCTACAGAATGGAAAAGGGGGGAAAAAAAACATTGGCAATTAGTCAAATACACTATAAATTTTATTACATAAAAGATGTATCCCTTTCCAAAAGTTGTGCTAGTACTTTCCTTTACAACAGACTGTACCTATACAAACCTGCTGACATACATTTTCTGTTGCTGATATTGCTATTATTTTCAAAACAAAACAAAGCGTATTTAAATACATTTTTGAGAGCAGTGTTCAGAAACATGCTTTGGAAAGTTCAGTAGGGATTAAAGCACTTGAAATAATTTGTTTTCAATCTCTTCAAGAGAAACTACATGTAAGTGGCTATGCAATGACCATGTGAGAAATCAACCCCAAGTCTTTCATCCCAAATAAGGAATTCAATAATTTGATACAAAGGAGAGAGAGGAAGGCATATTTGTATGCACAACAAACCATAGACATCCCAAATATATTATTTTGTTGCGATCATTTACTAGTCCACACTATATTCATCAGCACACTTGGAACTGTAGAAATAAAGGAAGACACAGTCACTGTTTCAGAAATTTACACTCAAGAGACACAAACAGTACAAAACAAAAATGGCTGTTTAAAATTGTTCTGTACTCAGTGAAAAGCCTTACAGAAGACCTGAATATAAAAGACAATGATTTGAACATGATTATTGTTATTTGGTACACAATACGTGCTGGTTGAAGATCCAGGTGCTGAGAGCAGAATGAGCAATACAGAATGAAACCCAGTGTATTATAGTGGAGCACAGATAATATCAGAGGATAAGAATGATGTCAGTAAGTTGGCTAATAAACTAACCAACAATAAACAAACAACAGTTTCTACTAGCATATTATGATTCATGGCAAAACAAAAAAAAAACAAAATATTTTCCTTGTACTAACAAAAAACAGAGTCATTTAAATAAATTTCTTTCTTTTTGGCTAAAAGACCCCTAAAAGCCTTTATTTCCACTGTACACTTAAAGTCAGACTACTTGCAGTCACGTAAGATTTACTGACCATATGTTCACAGTATGTTTTAATATTAATATTGTTGGGATATGTAAACTGAATAGGGGTCTGGGATGACTATATGTTAGTGGTAAGGAGTTCAGCCATAGTAGGCATTACTCTTGAACATGCTCTTTCTCTGTTTTTACAGTCTAGAAAAATAGATAAGCAATGCAGCTGCTCTTCTTTGTTGTGTCTTTTGCTTATCCTCATTGGCCCTGTAGAAAATATCTTCAGGGTTAAATTTCTTGTAATCTCTGTAACCTGCTGATTTAGAAAGTTTGTAGTGTAGAAAGTGCTGATTTAATTAGAAATTCTGTAAATGGTAATTAGGGGCAGGTGTAATTGTATTAATCACCTGCTTATGAATACTTATTTTGTGGGAGTTAATATTATTAAATAAGGTTTTAGGAAAAGTAGTAGTAGACGTGTGAATTAACATACTAAAATAGATGAAAGGGATTAATCGGTGCCAATTTGTTGCCACTCAGACATTGTGTTGAATGTCCAAGGTTAATGTGCGTGGGCAATAAAGCAGTTCCATTTACCCCATCCGTTCCTGGGTCACCTGTTTCTTCTCTAACAAGTATGTCTTTGCTGCACAGTTAACTTGAGTTACTTCTCCTGAGTTAGCTTAGAATAGATCAAGAGAATATCTGCATCTGCACTGCCACTGTACTTATGTGAATGTGGCACTAAATCTTCTGTGTGCAAAGCCTATGGATGAATAGGTTCTATGAATTCTCAGCGAGTTATGAGAAGACTTCTCTCTTCTTTTTGAGCACATCAGGAAAATTGTCAGAAGGCACTGGAAGACTAGCAGCATTCAAGTGTCCATTCAACAGTATGGTGGTATTAACAGTTGGTAAGTTATTCTAACTTGAGCTTTGGCCTATATGTCCTGACAGGCCAGCAAATTTCAGTTAAAACTAACATCAGACTAAAATGAAGGGGTTTTGTGTAAGGACAGGTCTCAAATTAAAGACAATTTTGAGTTTCATTTGTAGTGAAGGTCAGATCTCAAATTAAAGGCAATTTTGAGTTGCATTTATGGTGAAGGTCTTTGGCCCTTAAGGTCCTAAAGTGTTTCAGTTCAGAAATACCTTGACCCAACCAAAGACCACCTCTTACCAGAAATCTTAACTTTATTTTAATCGAGGACTTACACCACCATAAATTACCTAGAAAGCTCTATTGGATGAAGAGGGGGGAGAATAAGCAAAATTAAAGCTAGACAGACTTGCTAAGTAAATTGTGAGAAAATTTTAACCTATGTTAATTAAACATGTGATTCCAATTTCTTAGAATTTGATTACAATCAGCCATTTTTTCCATCAGTGAAAACACTATTACTCTGTTAGCTGTGATATTTAACTGCATATATCACAAATTACCATTCAAACTGTTCAATTTTCTTTTGCATTAGTGCACAAATATTACAGTAAAATTTAAAAGATAGACCATTAATTTTGGTGCTCAACTTGAGATGTTTCAGGCCTGGTATCAACAGGTTGAACACCCCAGCTTGTTTTTCAATGAGCTGAGACTAAGTATCTCAAGATGAATCTACATAAACAGGGAAATGGTTTTGATGATGTGGCTTATTTTTTCATTTTAATACTTCTGAGTAAGTTTATGGAAGTTGCTCCCACATAATGTATTGTTTTATCTTTCATATTTCGTGTTATGACACACAACACTTCAGAAGGGATCTTAGACAGGCTTTCTTCTATATTTAACACCTTCAGAATACTATTTATTATAACGGAGTGTAACTGCAAATAGGTGCAGCCCCCAAGAGATTTCTTTTTTGCTGTCATTGCTTTGAATGTTTAGACAGAAGCTCATTTTTCTTATTGGTCACAACTTTTAAGTTCTTGTACCTTCCCTAAATTTAACATTCTATTAAATATATGATTTTTCTCAGACATTATCCAGTGAAATGCACTAAGACATTGATAGTTAAGATTTTCCAGTTATGTCATTTTCGGTAGCACAGAGATATACGAGTTTCAAAATCAGTTTCAAAACAGTAAATTCTTAATTCCAAAACTCTAATTCAAATCACTTCATTTTTCAATAGCTTCTATAAACTGAGGTAAATGGCATCCAGTGAATCTTGACCTATGTTTGTTATGGCTAATTCGTCAGACACAAATTACTTTATTTCTGGGTCTCTGTTTCTTATTTTAAAAAACCCTCCTTTTTGTTGCTTTCTGAATTTTTCACACTTGATTACACTTTTCAACTTCGTTAACTTTTAATGAAAATAAATTTTAAACAAAAAGAAAGTATTTTCATATTTAACTCAATGCTTTCCATCTGTAATTTTATTAGAAGCAAGTGGAGCACAAAGTATTTGCAAACAGAGGGGGTTTTCAATAAAAGTTAATTACTTACATGTGTACATACACATCATTTAAGTTTAGGCACCCATTTAGGCACCTACTTAAGCTGACTAAGTCTTTGTTAAACCCCACCCTGGGGCACTACACTTATTTCTGTGCTCTCATTTTGATGCCTCATAGTTACTGTGCTTTTAGGAGCTATGATTCCCTTCATATAACCCTCATTACTAGCCTGCACATTTTGTAGGTCCTCAGGGTAACAGTGGGTAAGGAAAGAATCTTTCCCTTAGACTACAGGATGGTATAAATCCTGTTCTGCAACTACAACTGTAACTTCAAGGTTACAGAAACTTACAATCTGTATGCTGTCTAGGGAAAAAATATTTTGTATATCTTTTTGTGGGCACAACCCTGCAATGCACAGCAAGCTGAAGTTCCCGCTAGAAGGAGTTGCACCCTTGGATCTAAGAGCGGTCTGGGCATAGTCCAAAGGTAGGAGGTCTCTGAGGGACTCCTTCTGTCCATTTGTGCCCTGTGCAATGATTCTCTGCATGGAGAAAGAAGATAGGTACAGGGTTGCCAGATGGTTTAACCAAAAATACCGAACACCCCCTCCGCCCCAAAAAAAACACCGGGGAAAAAATTCTATCGAGGGGGAAAAGGGGGGGACCAAAGTTGTTGACCCCCCTCCCAAAATTAAATAATAAAACAGCATTAGAAAAGCATGGCCCCTTTCAGAGTCAAGTATCAGAGGGGTAGCCATGTTAGTCTGAATCAGCAAAAGCAGCGAGGAGTCCTGTGGCACCTTATAGACTAACCGAAGTGTTGAAGCATAAGCATTCGTGGGAAAAGACTCACTTTGTCAGATGCATGCAGATGGAAGCTTATGCTCCAACACTTCGGTTAGTCTATAAGGCGCTGTTAGAGAAAAGAGACTGCCCCCCCCCAGTAAAAAAGTTTGGCCAGGCCACTCTTGTTATAGTGAGCTGCAGTACTCCTTGAGGGAAACCGGCCGCACCCTTCCTGCATACCATTGCCTTTAGAAAAAGGAAAGGTATGAAAAAGGGAAAATAGCCTCAGACTCTCCCACCCGTCTCCTTGGCGTGAGAACTGCAGGGCTTACCTGGTCGCATGAAACCTGCACAGTTTCGGCCCAACCCCTGGGACACAGACCCCCACTTGGTGACCATTGGGCCATATATGGTAATATGCAAGCATGGGAAAGCAATGTGCAGATTTGGGGATAAACACCCATCGCACAGTTAGCTCTCGGAGATCTTCGCAACACACGTACCACCGTGCATGTGCCTTCTCGTATACAGGCAGTCCCCGGGTTACGTACAAGATAGGGACTGTAGGTTTGTTCTTAAGTTGAATCTGTATGTAAGTCGGAACTGGCGTCCAGATTCAGCCGCTGCTGAAACTGATCAGTTTCAACAGC